CCTATTGTGATTAAGTGGTGTATTTATGGGGGGAGGTGACACGGAGCTTATATCCCCACTAAGTGGAGATACCAAGTCTTGAGGTAAGTATTTTGCAATTATAATATAACTTTTGTCTGTCATGAATGTGTAAAATTACTAAAAATATATAACTGAAATAAATATTTTATTTATCTTAATTTAACTATGTTCTAATTAAAAATGTATAGGTACATTTTGTTACTCAAGTAATTAGTAATTACCTTCCTCCGAAGAAATTCAAAATATCTATTGGTACGCATTGATTAATTTTAAAATACATGGCCATATATCAGTTTCAATCAATATACATTTATTTTCTAGGTTATTTATAATATTACAACTTAAGAATAAAAATTTAGATTTGTTAGGTAGTATTATTTTTGTTCAAAATTATGAAATTGCTGTCAAAATATAAAATTAATAATACGAGTATAACTAAATGGTATAGTATAAGTATATAATATTGTAATAGTATACTTGTAAATTCATTGATTCCGCCGTAACTACCTGTTTAAGAAAAAGGATTATGCCGATTCCACTGGCTACTGTTTATAATATTTACAAATCGATTCTACCTTACGCTATTCGCCTCTCCTCCTTTGTAATATTGTATCACATATCTACATTTTATAAAATTATAGTAACTATTTAATTCAATATAACAGTAATATAACTGCATGTGTATTTAAATATATTTACCAAATCTTTGAATATGTTTCCACCAATGTTGTGTCAAACGAAATCTGCATCCAGCGATCCGTATTTCAGTCCATATTGTTTTTGTTCCAATATATATAGATTCTTCAAAATCGGAAACTATTTTTGAGGGAGTGAATAATAAATTCATTTCTGAACATTTTTCCACGACATATTCAAACTATCGTGCTAATGTGTCTTTACATTTGTCTGGTTAGGCTTAAATAATTAGTTATTCATATATTTTATATTGCACGATTCAAGAACTCAATTCGTATGAATTTGTATGCAACCCCCTCCCACATAGTAATACCCATTTTCCCGTGTCCTACCCCCTATTTGGAAATGTCTACCTTTTCCTTTATGAGAGATGGAAGTTGTACGGTTAATTGAAATAGATATTAATAGGATATTTAAGTTTATTTAATTTAAAAAACCATACCCTTACTCAGTTACTCGGGGTGGATTAATTTATAAGGCCCCCTTGTACCGGTGGATCTGGGATGTATCCAATACCTGCAAGGCTAAACGGGGGCCCAGGATTACTTCCTAGCAAAATGCTGTAAAAAGTCGTAAAATGGTAATTTTAAGGTCTTCTAAAGGACAAATTTATTCTTATACTCTACTTATTTATTTTTATGAATTTCTAGTAACACTTTTATAATTTGTAGTGAGTAAAATATGAGGTGAATATTTAGGTTAATTAAGTATACGTTTTTTGAAAAAATTAAGTACTAAAGATTTTTTTAAAGAGGCATTTGAAAAATTAAATCAAATGTGTTGTATTTTATAAAAAAATTATATAGGTACAATGTAAAAAAAAAACTTCTAAAATAAACAATCTTTGTAATATTTGTTTCTCTTCTAGTAATTATTTAGAACAGGTGCTCCAATTAAAAATTTTTTTCTTCTAGTTTTTACATCAGCAAATTGACAGGTTGTTTCATTAAAGTTTATTTACATCGCCAACTGGTTCTCGATGAATAATATTGCTAGTCCATTTAATCTGATTTGGCTCATCGCTGAGCGCAAATAATTTTTAACGATTTTAAGTTTCGAAAAACTTCTTTTAAACGTTGTGACTGATATACAAATTGTTAAAAACAACTTAAGTGCAGAACATAAGTTTGGTACAGACTCTGGGAAGTCCATACTAACAATGAACTGCAAAACTTGACCATTTCTCCACTTCCTTTTTATTGATATTTGACGCTTGAATATGTCGTCTCAATCTTTTTATTTCTACCATAACCCCGTCCTTGGAAAATTCGTCGTAAAATTCGGTTAGATTAGTTAAGTTAGATAAGTTTGGTAATATATCATCATTTACTTTCATCAAATTGATTGACTGTAAAATTTCAAATTTGTCATAAACTTTCTCCATGGATTTGATTCTTGTTTTCAGTTCCAAATATAGTTGTGTGTGGGAGTTGTCGAATGCGTACGTTTTTATCAGTGTGAATATTACATACATGTATATACAAAAATACGAGTATAGTCATTTTATATTGAGCAATCAGATGTGACGTTTTGATTAGGTACGTGGTTTACTGTTCACTGAAAATTCAACATATTGTGATTTAAAATTCCTAATCTATTACCTACACAGTACGTCAGTACACACTATATTACAAAATTCTTTTACATTTTTTTTTTTTAAGTCCAGGGAGATTTAAACCTAGATACCTTGTTCATATATACGTAAGGGACTGTGGGAGCCTTTTAGAAAGTGGGACATTAAGTGGGCCCTTGTTCAAAGTATGTTTTTAAAAATTTAATTTATTTTTAAGAAAAAATTTTAATTTTTTTGCTTTATTTTTTTTTTTTTTTTTTTTTTTTTTAATTTTATTTTTTAATAGAAAAACTTGAACATTTTTTTTTTTTGTGTCCCTTTTGAACGAAGTGCCCGAGGCGGACCGCTTCCTTATAGGTCCGACACTGCCCTTACTGTTATTTTCGAACAAATACAAATTCACAAAAATTGAATTCTTGAATCGTGCAATATAAAATATATGAATAACTAATTATTTAAATTTGGAGTGGCTAAAGACATGTTAGCCCCCTTCTGTATTTTCAATATTGCTCAAATACTAGTGTCGTAAAAATTCTAAGAACTGACAATGAAATGCATACAAATGACGTACAAAATATTTGAATAGAAATTTTTAATAATTACTTTGGTGGGAGGGTTGGGGACACGTACGTCATTTACTGTTAATTTGAAACTAATGTGTTTCTTGATTTTAGTCTATTCATGATGCGTATATTGATGTTGCAATCATTTTAAACTCCGATTTTGATCTTCAATTGTTTTTTGCGCTTTCGCATTCATCTATCTCGTATCTATAAAACTTCATCACTGTATATATTTCATTCAATAGTCTTACGTATTCCTAATTGAGATATTTTCCGCCCTATTAAATGTATTAAGAGGTAATATGCAATAATTTTAATTAATTATCAAAGCATTTATATAGTTATTATTTAGCTATTTATTATTACAGTGTACTCAATTTTCATATGATAACAAAATTATAATTTATAATTTGTATATTCTTATAGATGTATGTAGGTAATTGAGATGTTAAGAGGATTGCTTTAAAACTATTTAATCTTACATGCATTTTAGTATTCTACAAATTATTGAATCAACTTTAAAATATTTCATCTTGTATATGTTTAATGATCCAAAACTTAATTTTATAAATTCTTATTAATTGAGTAACCTATTTAATTAATTGTAGTAACAAAATATTAGATGTAACATAATGTTGACTTTAATTTCCATAACTTAAAGTAAATAGAAGACTATATATATTCAATCTTGATATTTTTAACATTTATATATTATACTTACTGTAAGTTTCGTCTTCGGTTTAAACCTTGTTTATATATATATAATCTATTCTAAGAATTATATTTATACATAATATACTAAATAATTTTATATTTTATGAAATACTTTTGGTATATATAATTTAATTTATAAAAAATGTATGCAAAAAAAAAAAAATTGTAAGATAAATTTTGTGTCTTGCTCAGAATCTTATGTCTGAATTTTTCCGAAGTATTTGATTTTTCGTATTGATTATTTATTTATATTCGCATATCATTAATACATGTTTAGTTATGTGTTATTAAATTATTTATTAACGAATCTTGTATTTTACAAAATACTAAGTACTATTAAATATAAATTTTTCATACGAAGTGTTAAAGGCTCTTGGTAGGTGGATGTCATGTAAGAAATTAGTGGGTACTCAAAACTTAATAGAATTCAAAAAGTGTAACATTAAATTTTGGTCGATTACGAAAAACCTTCGTGTAGAACATTATGTTATTTATAGATTTCGGTGTATATTCGTCATATTCTCATACCTACGATATACGATCGGACGAATTATGTCGTTGCAATGTCATTTATGTTCGCCTGCAGATGTTCAAAGTCTGTGTGGGTATGATAACTTCATTCCTCGTGTATTCTTTATTGTGACCGCATTCATGTCTATATAAATCCGTAGTTTTTATATATGGCGTCCAAAAGACGGGGGAAACGACGACGACGTGCGTGCACCTATAATACGTCTATATATACCCCATACATATACACATACATACATATGAACATATATATAAATGGAATGAATGGAAAATCACACGGGCGAGACGCTTATCCGCTCTATGTATAGTAACGACGGTGCTATTTTTCGTACGTATGGAGACTTGGTTGCCGCGGAGGGAAATGCTCACTATAACTATAACTATATATGCGCTTTGTGTGTGTTCCCTTGGGGTGTACCCGTAGGGGGGAAGTAGGGGCCCCTGTGATTAATGGCGTTGCGACGCAATCACGAACCCGTCGCCATTAACACAATGCATACAGGGATTTTCACCCTCGTCGTCTCGCCGCCACCGTGGCGGTGATACCAAACATGGCCGCTCCCCTACAAATTTACGCCTGTGTACTCATACTCTTATTATACATACATGATTTAATATAAAAATCAAAAGAAAGGAAAAACAATTACTAGTATAGAAAACTATACTGGTCGTGTATAATAGTATTTATGTATGTCTGTAAAAATGTATGTACAAATATCATTATGTATACAATTTACCTATCATGAGCTGTAAATTATGCGTGCAAAGTTTCATGTGTAACTAAGCGTATATTTTAATTTTCGAATTCATCTAATTGTAACGAGTGTGATTTTGCAATTGATTTAAGTGTTTTTTTTAACATTTTTTTTTTCCTTTAGTCATAATTTATAAATAATTTTCAGGATGCCGAGGTCGTAGAAGCTATATTTAAATCCGATTTAGAACACGAACCAATAGATGAAGAAAGTCATGGAGCCTTCCCTTACGGCAACACTTATGAGGGATTGTTCTTGTTACCGGGAGACGAACCACCACAACGCAATTACACTTTTAGTAGTCCTCCGAGTTCATCAAATCACCATTGGTTCTTTCCTCCATTAAATGACAGTGGTTTGCCAGTGACCCCTAGTTTAAGTCCGGTAAATTTTCTCGTATAAGTAAACATACAATTTTTAACTTTTATTCATACTTTTGCCATGAATGTTTTTTTTATAGCGTCGTAATGAATTCACGGACAGCTTAGATGGTAATTCCTGGGAGGTTGGACGTTTGCTGGTGGATCTCAGAACAGGTGCGTTACGAGATTTGTTATTAAACAAAATAAATTTATTCTGATTGTCATCATATCGTCGAGTGCGTTATGGGTGTTGCAATCGTGTATACTTGTATGCTTCCCTACTGAGTGGGTGCGCAATTATTGGTCGATGTCTGATTGAGTAATTCATACTAGTAGTGAGCAATAGGTAAACGTATTATTAGTTAGTGATTAAAACATAATAAAAGATACTACTAAGTTTTCTATTTAATATTTCAAATATTTCCCAAATAAAATATAAATTTTACATGTGATTTATGTAAAACAATATACATTTTTCTTACTTGTATTGATTTACATTCTTTAATTTATATTATTAATTTAATGATACAACCTATGTATTTTTTGTTGTATTTAGGCTAAATGAAATGCCAATTCTTAATATAGGAGTTATAGATACTCGTATAAGAAAAAAAGATAATCAATGATACTTACATTTAATATATATGTAAAATTGTATCTAATTATAATTATAACTCTAGTTAATTGTACTTTTGTATAAACCTCTAATTAATCACTTTAATATATAAAGTGAATATATTTAATTGAATAATTATTTTGTTAAATTATATATTTAAAACTTATGAACATATATTTAGATAACTTTGGAATTCTTAATTGAAATTAATAGCATTTTTTCATATATATACTTATGTATTAAAAGACATAAAGTTAATCTAATTTTTTATTGTTTTATTATTTAATGAAATAGTTCTAATGTGAATTCCATTTTAGATTAGTAATACGTAGATGCCTAATGATTTCTAAAAAGTTAAATATTCTTTTATACACTAAAAATAAGCACATATTTCTATTATTTTTTATGATTAATAAAATATAATATATGTAAGAGTATGTATCAAATATCACGAGAAATATTTTAATATTTAGAAATGTTTGAAGTTCATATAAAGCAAATAGTTTTATAAATATATAATTATTGTGATAAATACCAATTATTTCACTTATTTTTACAATTCTTGTCTTAAATTGTAGAAAATGAATTTATATTTTAAAATATTAAATAAAAGACTAATGACCAAATAAAAATAGAAATTATATACCTACAATTTTAGTAAAAGAGATTTTAATTAAATAAACTAAGGTGCACTATTTTTGATAAGCACTAAAGTATATATACCAATGATTTTTAATACCGGATCAATTAAGATTCTGTGATCAAACTTCCAAGTTGTAAATATGCACTAAAACTATCTTGTCAAATGTTCCAACATGAGAAAATATTCCTAAGAAACTAGTTAGTAATATAATTCAACATTTTCTACACTAAAAGTTTTTTTTTCTTTTGATAAACTTAGTAATTCTAGAACTGATTGCTTTATAACTTGATACAATGCCTCCTAATTTATAAATTTCTTTATTTACTATCACTGAGTCCGGTTCATGTTTAATGAACAAAGAATCCATCGTAATGTATTGAAAATCAAAATACGAAAAATCTAATTAAAAATGCAATGAATCTTTGGTACCTTTCTATAATGTATATATATGAATTATAAAAATTAAACCTTATACTATTTCCAATAATATATATTATTTAACATTTGTTTTTCATTTTAATAGAAAATGCATTTATTAAACTTTGTAAAATACTGTATATATCATTGATTCTCATTTTTTCTTACTTAACGTCCTTCATATTTTAAAAAATCTCTCATCGTCTCATCCTAAGATTTTTTTTTTAAATTAATTAATAGTTTATTTTTTTTAATTATCCATTTTAGTAAAATTGAAAAAATTGATTGTACACTATAGAAAAATGTTACTTATATGTACTCTATATACAGAGTTATATGTGTAGAGTATTATTGAACTCATACGTACGCTTATTATGTGTACAGTCTTATTTACTCCTACTAGTTTCATTACCTAAAAAATATTCAGTTTTCTTTCTAAATACTTGAAAATTTTTTCGTCAGTGTATGTACAGCATTATATATGTCCAATTTTATATACATTATTATTCAGTTACTCACCCTTATGTATATATGTTATCAGAATTGAATTTTTCCGCTCGTTCTCGAGGAAAATGCGTGTTACATAATGCATGAATAAAAACGTTTTATGTATTAAGTGACTCGGGGGTTGTAGAGGGGGTGGTGAGTGGAGAGGCTTCGTACCTCGGAGGGGAAGTGCGACGGTGTGTTATGCGCGTGTGTAGTGTATACTGCCGCCTTTGCCGAAGAGCGTTGTAACGTCATCAATCTTCGACGTCCGTCCTTTTGTTATTTACCCGCCGCCACCGCCGCTTTCGGTCATCTAGGGATGAGTCATTTGTTGGCCGTACCCTGTCCTGGTCCACCGATTTCCGCCATCCCCTCTTGCCATGAAATCATCCCCCTATTTCTATTTTTTTTTTTGCCATTTGGCCTCCAGAACGTAATGGAGCGACAGCCGCCAATCCGGGAATAAGCATTGAACGACCCCACGAAAATTCTTCCCCTCGAACAAGCGGTATACGTGTTCTATCTCGATTTTTCAAACCTACCACCACATTTATATATATATATATATATATATATTTGAGTTCTTAATATAAAATGGAATATAATAATAATAAATATATGTATATACATACGTACAAGTATGCGTATTTCTTCTCCCACTATATAGTCGTTTGTAGTCACGGTAACGCACTGCACATACGTACTTTTGTATGAATATGTATTTATTATACGATGATGCTGATGACGGATACAGCTATATAGTTTAGTCTTGTGTGTATAAATTTCAATGTAAGCGGCGTCCCTTTGATATATATATATATATACACGCATGCACATTGTACACCATTGTCGTGTTTCCAATGATTTCAACCTTTTACATTAGATCATATGCGGTATACATATAATATATTATATACTTATGATTCGACATTCTTTGAATAATACGCCTGTGTAACTAACTCTTTAGACGTGCAACCTTTCTCTTCGTTTAATGCTACAATAATAAGATATGTTAATAAGCTAAATGAAATATATTTAAAAACATTTATAATAATATATTTTCATTTGATATAATAAATATAAAATAGTTATGTTTAAAAATAAAGTGTAATTGAATCATTGTATCAAATCTATGTAGGTATTACTAACTTTTATACGTTTCTAGTATTTCATAAATTATAATAATAATTTTACCTATGTATACTTCAGTTTGAAAATTAAATAATATTATTTTAATCTTTCAAAATACTTATGAAGTATTTTAATAAAAAATACATTAGTGACAATAAACGTATTTAAACCATTAAATCAAATACTAACTGTTTAAATATTAATATTTTAATTAATATGTAGACTAAATTAGTACCATCCAGCATATATTACAAATATAATGGAGCAATAATTATTTACTTGTTATCCAATATATACCTTTATATAAATAAAATAATTATGTATTATTTATGTTTAAATATAATAATTTCCTAGTAAATAAGAAAGTTTAGTATTTATATACTATATCTTATTTAACATTTCAATTAAATTAATTATTTAAAAATTATTGAAAGAATAATCTTCATCTTTTTTAATTGTTAAACCAATGACTTAATATATTTTATATTATAATTTATAATTCCATAATTTAAAAGATGGCCGATTATTCTTACAATGAATCTAAAATAACTATAAAATTGTAACAATTTAATAAATAAAATACTTTTAAATAGTTGGTTATAAAATTATTAAACTTATTATCTGTTCTTTGGCAAATTTTATCGAGCTAGAGGGTTTATATCAATATTACATACCTAGTTATTTTTTTTTTCATATACAAGCAAAACCTTGAATGATCTATTGAAATGTATCATTAGCTTCCAATATTAAACGGATAATCTTTTTACGTTCTATTGTTAAATTATTTTGAGAATGTATTTGTATACTTTGACAATTTGCACTTCACCGATTACCTTGACCTAGTGTAAAATTTGTTTTGTGTTGTACTTCACGATCTAGCGGTTTTATCATAGATTTTTTTATTTTAAAAGCTGTATAGTCAACGGTTTGAACATAAGTTATAAACCCCTGTGTACCGTTTGTACCATTGTTTGTACATGCTCTAAAAACTATTAAAATTGTTGTTTGAGCGTATGATTTTAATCATTTAAAAAATGAAGAAAACGTTACGTTTTATTTATTAATAGGTTCAATTGCCTGAACATTTTAAATAACATTAAAATAAAAAAATAAAAATCATTCAATTCAATAGTTTCTTAGTTTTTTAGTAATGCGTTATAAAAATATAATACTATATGTAATTGTGATTTATATTTCAGATGCATTAATCATTATATTAAAATAGTATAGTAATTGTCGAAGTTATATATATATATATATATATTATGTATGTATTATTTTGTTGTCATTGTTTTTAAAATTATTATATTTAGGGTGATGATGGTATTAAAAAAAATTATAATTTTATTCAGATTTATTATTACAGATTATACAAATTATTATAAATATTTTGTTGTCTTTTATCCTTTTCGTCGCATATATTATATATACAGACAATTTTTATGTATAGGTCTGTCATGATAAAACGATTTTCAATATCTTATGTACGTACATAGGAATGTTGATTTTAATGATACCGTGTATATATCTGTTGATGGCTACATTTTGTATGTGATTGTAATAGGTAATTTTGATCTTTATCCTGCAGTAGCAAAATGGCATAATTCTCGATCGATGATTTTTCTACGTTTGTTGACCGTGTCTGTATTAATAAACATTGTCATTGTCATCGTATTGGTGTTAATACATATGTCAAATGTGATTTTTTTTAAAATCAATTTTTTTTTTTTTTTGTTTAACTTGACGTGGATCCAATGGTGCCAGTGTGGCGATACGTGTTCAAATAACGCGAGACCCAGTAGCGCATCATAACGGGACATAGTGCAACGTCATTTCACCGGTCTACAATGTCAGACAATATGTATAATAATAATATTC